TGGGGTGGGGGCTCGGAGACCCATCAGGACCCAGCTGTGAAGCTGGTCATGTGACCGAATCACCTGATTTCCCCCCCCGGCTTTCCCTGGTGACAAACAGCGCCCCCCCGTGGCCCCCCCATCCTGTCCGCCAGTCCCGGGGGGTAACCCCCCCACTGGTGTCCGGGCGCAGTGGGGGGCGCCCCCAGAGATCGGGGGTGTCCCTCACACCTGACCCCTTCCAGGCTCCCTCCATGACCACGAGGTCTCGTGGGGAGGGGGGGGGGCTGATGGCTGGGCTGGGGGGGTCAGTGTTTCCCTTGGGGGGGGGCAGCCCGGGGGCGGGGATGCCAGGCAGTGGGGCAGCAGGAACCACAGTGACCCCCCTCCCCGCAGGAAACACTCCAAACTTTTCTTCCAAAAAATGTCTGTAGCCAGGACAGCGGCCGGGGGGGGGGGGGGGGCGGTGGTCTCGGGGCGGGGGGGTTTGCTATTCCCACCTTGGCCACATGGGGGGTCGTGAGTCTGTAGCCCCCACAAAGGGGGGGTTAACAGCCCCCCCCTCCGTGCGATGTCTGCTGGGAGGGCAGAAGGGGGGGCGCACACGTTCCCCCCACATAAAGGACCCAATGGGCTAAATACTCCGATGTCATTTAAACCCTGCCTGGTGCCCCCCCCCGAGCAGGGACGCCCCCCCACCCCATCTGGGGGGGGGTCACAGTCCCCTGTGGGGAGGGTCACAGACTCCCCCCCCCTTGGCCTTTTTTTCTTCTTTGACTAACAAAATGTTTAATAATTTTTTTTCCCACAGGGGTGGCAGGAGCTCCCCCTCCCCCCCGAGAGCCCCACACGCTGGGGAGGAGACGGATGCTCCGATGTGGGGGTGGGTCAAGCGAGGTGACCCCGATAGTCACAACACAGTACAGTCCCCCCCTTTCCTCTATGACTCAACACTAGAGGGGAAGTGGGGGGCAAGACGTGAGGCGAGGGAAGCGCCCCCCAAATCTGCCACCCCCCCATTGGCACACGAGGGGGGGGACACAAAATAAGTTAATTCCAGCAACTGCAACATGTAAAAAAAACCCCAAACACCCCCCCCCAGAAACAAAAGGCCGCAGCACCTTGGGACACCCCCTCCAATCCCCCCAGCCCCGCTGCCAAGGCCCCCCGCTGCAGATGGGGGTTCGGGGGGGGCTGATACAGTGAGTTCCTGAAACCTTGTCTGTGGGGGGGCAGCCTGGCTCTGGAATAGGCGGGGGTGGCAGGTAGGGAGGTCCAGCCCCACTCTGGAGCAGGTGGGCTGCAGAGAGGGGGCAAGATGGGCACAACCCCCCCACCACACACACACACACAGAGCACCGTGGGGCTACCCCATGGCCAAGTGCAACCGTGACCCCCCGCCACCCAGACAGGGAGCCCAGGGGCCCACATGGTGGGGGAAGACCTGGCCCAAGATTCAATGGGTTACAGCGGAGGGCTGGGAGCCAGGACTCCTGGGTTCTCTCCCTGGCTCTGGGAGGGGAGCAGTGGGGGGACGGGTTCCCGGACGCCTGGGTTCCACGCAGTCAGGGACACAGACACAAGCTGAACGGGTTTTATTTAGAGCCCTTTTCAGGTGGCGCCGGGGGGGGGTCTGTCCATCCGTCCCACGCCGGGGGGGTCCGTCCCGGGCTCAGGCGCTGCTGGTGAGACACTGGGCCCCCAGGCTGCCGAAGGAATCTCTCTCCCACTCGCTCATCAGGGCGAAGTGCAGGGGCCGCTGGCAGAAGTGGCAGGCGGAGGACGCGGGGGGCTGCAGGGGGAGCCCCACGTCCTCGCCACGCCCTGCACCAGCCGCTCGTGGGGGGGGGGAGATGGGGTGAGACCTCTGTGCCCCCCCAGGTACCCTCCCAGACCCTCACTGCACCAGCTGTAGGGGGGGACTGGTGTGTGACCCCTGACCTCTGTCCCCAGCCCCCCCCCCGCTGCCCCTAATCTCCCCTCCCCCCGGGATCTTCATCCTTCACCGACTGACCCCCCAAGTGCCCCCTCCCCCCCTCCCGTTTACCCCCCACAGCCCGCTGCCCTCACCCACAAAGTAGTCCATCATGGGGGGCGTGTGGTGGGGGGAGGGCGCCAGGCGCAGCAGCTCCTCGCCCCGGGGCACCGTGGGGTAGTTGATGGCCTGGACGTAGATGTTGTGCTGAGACAGGAGAAGGTCGCAGAGCCGGGAGTTCAGGGCCGCGTCGCCCACCTGCAGGGGGGGGAAAGGGAACCGGAGAGACAAGGGTGGGACACAGGAGTCCGGGAAATACCCCCTCCCCCCTCCACGCCCCACACACATACACCTCCAACCCACCAGCCCCCACTCCCCTCCAGGAGTCCTGGCTCCCAGCCCCCGCTGCTTTAACCACCAGACCCCACTCCCCTCCCAGAGCCAGGGAGAGAACCCAGGAGTCCTGGCTCCCAGCCCCTCTGCTCTAACCCACCAGCCCCCACTCCCCTCCCAGAGCCGGGGAGAGAACCCAGGAGTCCTGGCTCCCAGCACGCCCCTGCTCAAGCCCCTGGCCCGAGGACCCAGGCGTCCGGCCGTACCCGGATGGGGATGATGTGGCTGGGGCAGCTGACGACGGGCAGCCCGGCGTCCATCAGCAGCTGCCGCATGTGCTTGACGTTGCGCTGGTGGGCCCGGCGCAGCCCCCGGCCCTCGGGCCCGGCCAGCACCCGCAGGGAGGCCAGGGCGCCGGCCAGCACCGGCGGGGGCAGCGAGGTGGTGAAGATGAAGCCGGCCGCGTAGGAGCGAACCGTGTCCACCAGCGCCGCTGTGCTGGCGATGTACCCCCCCAGCAGCCGAAGGCCTTCCCTGGGGGGGAGAGCGGGGTGAGACA